GGCACAATGGATACTTAACAGTGCTCTCTGCAGACTGGATACTGTCTGTGGACCCAAATGCAGAAATGAATACGTGCACTTCCAGCAAAGTAATTGCAAAGATCTGGAAATGACAACATCGATATTGTACAATATTCAAGCAACGCTTGAAATATGAGCAGGGGTGAGTCACAACAACAGTTTAATATTGCAGTTGTTTCCGATCTCAGCTTTCGAAAAGTGCAACTTATTGCCCGAGCCTATCAGAATAATCCTGAAACTTACTGGTGAGATTTTCAAGAACATAAAAACAGTAACAAACAAGGGGAGCCTTTTGGCCCATGTGGCCGGCTTGGCAGGGAGTTAATACATCAAGTGATCACCAGTGAGCCATTTGAACAACATGGCTTGTTCCACACACCCGCCACCCTTTGTGTAAAGAAGTGTTTCCTGCTCTTGGTTTTAAATGCACTTCCAACAGTTTCCGCCTGTGGTTTTTCGCTCTGATTGAGCTGGAAGAAAGAAACACAGTGGTACAGGCTGAGTTTGCAGTGCAGCTCTGGTCCCTGAAGAAACTGGACCCACTGCTGGTAACCAGGGCACTGCTCAGACCCACCACAGCGGCACCAAAACCAAGGACTGCTTCATGCTGCACATTTCCTTGACCAGGCTGCAGTTCAGTAAGGGAACAAATGGTCTGCAACCCCTGTTGCCCCCTCTCTGACTCTTTATGTGAGTAGATAATACTGGAACCACAGTATTTAACTTTCCAGTGAGACACTGCGAATAACCAAAGATTTCACAGCACGTCACGCGCAAAAACTGCATTTGATGCAGCCTCCCAGCCATGTTCCACTTAAATATTAAAACCAATTTGTACTGTGGGGAAAGCAGTATGGAAAAACTAGAGAGCGTCATCTGTAGTGCATTTTACATACTGCAGAGTGTGAAACCGCTGAATAGCTTTACTGCTTTTCTCCAGTGGAATATCAGTTATAATCCCAGCCTTTGTTTTATACAGTAAATCACATGATGCATCATCTCAACTTGCATCCCCTGCATGCATTACCTTATGAGGCTACCTGAAGATATTTCAAGTACAAAAGAAATAGTAATACTGATGCCAAGAAATCATTCACAATCTCCTTAAAATGAGATGGACGAGGTGGAGTATTGTGCTGCAACCCTCCGGGTATCGCTGTGTTCTCACACACGCTGCTTGAAGCAGTAATAAGTCTGAACTTAGAGAGCAGCTCTGTGTCGAGACTCGTATGTCCTTTCGGGTGTCTCTCTGCAGACTGAATGCCGAGACACGCTTTGTTAGCGCCCCTAGAGGCACCAATGCGCAAAGACACTTCATTCACTGCACCTAATCCAAGTATCGAGTCTGCAACTTCTACACCGCTGTTAAATCTTAAATCAGAGTGAATCAGACTAAGGCTGTTACTTTCCCAATCACGGCTCTAAACCAGGGGCGTTTAACATGTACAGCAAGCGACTAAGGCAAAGGAGAAGACACACGAACTGTCCGTATTCCAGAGACACGCCTCTCGTGAAAACTCGACTCTGAAGTGTTTGGAGAGTCCCGGGCGGCTCCCCGCACGGAGCTGGAGCTGCTCTGGAGAAGCGCCGGGAGAGTTTCCTGCGAACGCGGAGCAGGTGCTGCTGAGGACTGTTTGCTCAAGGCTCCGCGCACAAAGCGCGTATCGCCTGCAGGAACGGCAGCGCTAGCACTGCTGTCAGTCAGCCATCCTGCACACACACGCACGGGCATCGCGCTCTGCGCACCCAACCCCTGCAGTCACAGCGAGCCTGCCCGGACCCGGAGGGAGAAAACAAACCTCCGCTCTTTTTTTTGGTCCTCACGCTTACCCCGAAGCCCCCCAAACGAAAGCCTCCGAGCTGCGACTCCTCACGCCACTTACTGTCATGGACCAATACTTCGCATAAGCCATCTGCGGCTCCGTGCGTCAGCGCGCTGGCGTGAAGGGACGAGTCCGAGTCTCCGACCTGCCGCCTCGGGCACCGGGAAGCGCACAGACCGGACGGGCTTCCTCCAGTCAGCCCACTCGTCCAGCCTGTCCGCGCTCCCCGAGTCCCACGGGCCGTGCCCGTCCGCCCCCCCGCACCCTCGCCCTCTTCACGCGTCACCCTGCCCCTCCTCCAGGCGCTGCTGCCAAATTCCTACATTTTCCAAAATCAGTCTCCCATTTTGACCGAACAAGGTGGGGCGGGGCGGAGAAGAACACGACAATACTTACCGACACACATATAAAACTCAACGACAATAATTACACCCAACGTGTTTAATTACCCGGCGGTCTGGGAATACGTTCTTACCACGGGCAGAGGCGAATTGCCAAAAAAAAAGTCAAATTTTAACCTTGTTGTGCAAGATTCCAACAGACACGAGCGGAGGTATTATTGTCACGTTTTCCCCCCGCGTCGCTACGGAGTAGTGAACTTGTGTAACAATGAAGTTGTGTAAACTTGTGTGAAACAGTCCTAGAAACCCTTATCCCCGCCGGTCCGTGGGCGCTGCGCAGACCACCCTGCCAAAACCGACTGACGCCCCTCGGCCAGGGGGCCGGCCGCGTCCAGGGTCGCCGGCCCCCGGCTTGGTGTTCGGGAATCTCGCACTGAGAGCCGGGCTCGTCCCGGCAGGAAGGGGCCGTTGACACCACGCCACGCATTCGCGGGGAGAGAATACCTGCTGCGACATCACTTACCCCTCTCGACTTCTTCGGACGGTTGTGTTTGCCTTTGTTCGGCATCGCTGCAAGTGCGCACGGATGAGTAACAAGCACTCGCCCTGTGAAGACAGACTTCCAACCTGACACACAGTTGACTTTCTAACCAGGATTCGCCCCTCCCGCTGTCAAAGTAAGACCGAGCGCTGGGTTTTGATAGATTTACTTCATAGGCCGGACCTGTGGCAGGCTATCGCTACCGAGAGGCGTGTGCAAGCGTCGCCCTGGGCGCCTGTCATGCTGGAGCGCATATTGAAGTGGTTCAGACCTAATTATTCCGCTTCACGTTTCTGACTCCGAGGGAGGCTCCCTGCTGCCGGCGCTCCGGTACCGCCTCTCTCCCAGCTGCTCCAGCTGCCCCAGCTGCCCGGGCCGCGAGCGCAGCAGCGGCGCGCGACCTCCCACCGCCTTCTCGGGATGAAGTACCGCTGAGCTGCTGACCCTCTCAGTGCAGTACACTGTCACACGCAGACGTGCAATGAAATGCTTATTTGCTTGTGTGCTCCAATACACGGACAGAAACAGCGGCAACAACAACAAGTTAAATAACATCTTAGTGAAAAAAACGAACCCATCAGTGTGAGCCGGTGGTGGGGGTAGAGTTCAGTAATCTGACAGCTTGTGGGAAGAAGCTCTCTCTGGATCTGGAAGTTGGTGCCTTTCTGCTCCTACAACGCTGACCAGAGGGAAGGGAGGAGAACACTGAGGAACCAGGATGACTGGTGTCCTTCACGATACTTCCAGCCTTCCTGAGGCTGCGAGTAGTGAAAATGTCTGAAATAGAGGGGAGCTGTACCCCAGTGATGGAGTGGGCTGACCTGATCGCCCCCTGTAACCCTTCTGGTCAGACAGCGAGCTGCTGCCAAGCCACACCGTCCTCCCACACGTGAGCCAGTCTCCACAGCGCACCTGTACCATGTGGTCAGGACCGCTGGAGACAGACCACACTGATTCAGCTGGCTGAGGAAGTAAAGGCGCAGTTGTGCCTTCGTTTGAGCTCCAGTTACATGCTGGGACCACGTTCAATCACTAGTGATGAAGGTACCCAGGAACCTGGAGCTGCTGACCTTCTCTACAGCCACCCCCTTGATGTGAACAGGGGTGGGGTCCCCACCCTGCTTTCTAAAATCGATGACCAGCTCCTGCAGTGCACAATGTCAAAGAATGAAACACTTTAACGCCCCCAAGGCTCTGGAATTCTATCAGTCTATCAAGGGTATCAGTCAGCTTCCCTGATCGCTTCCAGACCTTCCGAAAGAATTGGACTTAATCGGTTCTCTGTCTGCCCCTTCTGCACTCCAAACCCTTGTCCTTCTACAGAGAGATCCCGGGATAATTATTATTTTACTGCACATTGAAGTGATGTAGCATGATGCTATATAAAAGGAAGGTTATCATTATTAACAGCCACACTTAGCTGGTCTATCAACCACTGTGTCTCACCAGCACTGACACAGTGAAAGCCTGTGCCAGGTAGAATATTCTTTAAACCCAGAGTGAGAACTGAAACATTCCATTACAATTAACACCTGTGCAATTTACACTTCAAACTCAATTACACACACTGTGCACAACTACACTTTCATCTGTGCCTGAGTCAGTACAGTCCTCCAGTCGGCTCCACTGGGAAATCCACTACATTGCAAAAAACTCCATTGCACTCTTCACCTTGGTCTGTAGTGAATGGCAGAGTGAAGAGAGGGTGTGGGTGTGGGGAGGGACCGGCTGTCAAGGGCTGTGTGATGCCAATTTGCCCTGATGGGCCAGCGACACCCTAGTCATGTCATTTGCCAAACCCCTTTATACCATATGATGTGGCAGGAAGCAACGAGCACAAGGCAGGGTACACCCTGGACAGGGTGCCAGTCCATCGCAGGCAACACCCTGGTGTTGATGCAATCTCACGCCTTATCCTCTGTGTTTTCTAGTAAAAGGTCCTCTTAGCATAGATCCCAAGTAATTACCAACCATTTGGGGGCAACATGTTGGGGTTTGACTGTGCCTGTGATCGAGAATGGGCACAGGGTGCGCTTGAACAAACTGTTGATACACCTGGCCGTCTGTATACAGTACAGCCACTTCCTGAACACGCCCTGGGCAGGGAGCCCTGCCCACACCCAAAGCTTCTCGGGATGAATCTACAGCATTGTTGGGCAGCCCTAGAAAAGCCACAGTCTGAAGAGAGCCGAAGTCTTTTGGGAAGGAGAAAGGACAGCAGGAGAGACTGCAGCAATCAGACTCTGTAGGACTCAATCACACACCAGTGACAGGGAGCCTCCTCTACCTGGAACTGGACTCGGAGACACACAGGACAGAAGGGAAACACCAGAACACACAGTCCAGGACACCCAGAGCTGAGGAGGGTCCTGGAACTTCACTGTCTCCGCTCTGGTGTCAGGAGGCAAACCAGGTTACTGAGTGGAGCTGGGTCTGGAGAATAATGCTATTGGACTGTTCCTCTGGGACACTGGGTTCTGGGACCTGTTGGTCCTGGACTGCGCTATGAGTAAGCCGTGTCATGTTCTGTGCATGGAGTGACATCCGTGACACGAACCTTATATAATCTAATTCTGCTACAGGGAGTGCCCTTTAGAAATTCAAATCGGGTGTCTTTTCTGTGTATCTGTAACATACACTGCTGCCTTTTGAACATGAAGCTTGTGCAAGGAATATCAGACAAACAAGAGTCTTTAATGTTTGCCTTGAACAGGTGACGAGTCAGAACTCCTTATCAGCGCTCAGATAGCTCTGAACTAGGGTGTGAACTTCAGTGCACAGGCAAGCCTCAGCATGACAGGCCTGAGAAGTGAGTTCAGTCATCTGTGCCTCCACATCCTACCAGTCGAGATTCAGCCTGGAGGAGTGCAGGCAGCTTGTGAAGGGATATTTTTTTAAAATATCTGATAACAAACTTCTCAGACAGCACAGGACATGTTGTTAAAAGCCACGCAGAGATGATCACTCTTGAGAAGGTTGAGCAGCTCTGATGCAAGGAAACACACCCAGAGCTGCCCTACACACGTCTGGCAGAGAGTGAGCTCCTTTAAACACTGGGTTTCCTTTCTTCTCTTTTCAGCAGGGAATAAACCTTTCCTTGCTCTTTTAAACACATTCCGCTCGGTGAAATGGGAATTGTAGTGTCGGGGGTAGAGCCGAGCTCTCATGGATTACAAACACGGGCAGCACCATGACTGGCCACAAGCAGAACCGGCTGACCCACGTCTACACCAGCAGTGCCAATAGTGCTGCCTCATCTCCATTTCACTCCCGATGTGAAAAACTACCATCTGAATGACGTTTCAGAGGACCAAAGGACACACATTTTTTTTAAAAGTATTTCAGTCATTCTGAGACCTGTTACTCCTTTAAATTCTGATGTAGGGGCCTCTTCAGAGCATTGCTTTGACAGCATATAGTGTAGAAAAATGCAGCTCACACCTGAATCTTATGGTTTTGAGCTGTACTGTATTGATGTTTATTGTACATTGATTGTATACATCTGTAAAATCCACTGAATGATTGATGTATTCAATACAGTATATACACATTTTGTATTGGAAAGTAAATTCTGATTCTAATGTGAGCTCACATGTGAATGTACCATGTAAGAATAACATGCCCTCAACAAGTGGCTCTTCCTCAGAAAGATCCCTAGTTGGTCAGACAGTGGTGATCTAAGAGAATGAATGCCACAGACGTTCGTGCAGCACAGAGCCTGCTCTACGGAGAGTCATTCAGCCGAAGTGACTTACAGAAGATAGGTGGAAAACTACCGCGTTCATGAGCTGCTGCTGCAGAGTCATGAGACAGGGGCACAGCTGAGGTTTGAACCAGGAACCTCCTCATGTGTTCTTAAGGTGGTGGATATTAATTTAAAAACGAAAGGCAGATTCTGTAGAGTAACACAGGATAAAAACTGGATCAAACTTATTTTTATAGCAATAGTAAGCTAGTGTCCAAAAGACGAACCCAGCGCTACTGTGTGTTCTGACTGCAGGGGTGGACTGAGCACTCAGGGGAAATGTGAGGGTGTATTGGGGTTCCCTTGTTTTGGGGGTGATGAGCTGAATCAATGTGAAGATTCCTAGTTCTACAGTTTTTGCAAGGTGAATAAAGTGTTCCTCCTCTTCTGTATTTTTTACTTTTTTTAAGTCATACACTAAAATACAGGAAACACATAATTATATCTCTACCATTCATTCATTCATTCATGCTCCCTGAACTGAAGAAAAGGTAAAAAACTCAGACCAAGGGATTTGCACAAGTACGCAGCGTATCGATCGACCTGCCCCCACTCCAGCTCACAGGCTCCTGCCTGTCCAGAGGCTGCTGTGTGCAGTCCGGAGCCGACTGCCTGGCTCAGCGCTCGGAGCACAGCAGGCCTGTGGGAGAAGCGGCTCGGACTTCCTGAGATTCTTCACCCAAGGAGCTCGGCTTCCCTTGGCGTTTCCTAGCACGCCTGTGCAAACAGCGCTTTGCTGGCGGACCGACAACACGCCGTGTGAACCGTGGTTTTGCCTCATGCCTGCTCTGCTCTGGCCTGAGCACTCGGGCTGGGCGGATACGTCAGGCCTGGTTAGTGTGGACACAAACTACGCTGGAGCACTCAGCACTTTTCATTTTAAATAAGAGCACTAATGGTAAAGTCAAGTGTGCATTGAGTGTAGTGAATCCAGGCCTGGTAAAGCCTGATTCAGAATCACAGGAAAACAAGAGGCCAGTTTCTGTTTGATTTGACCGGGGGCTGGTAGGCGTGGTGCTCTCTCGCTTTGGCAGGAGAAGCAGAAAGGGAGTGTTAGCTTTGACAGAATGAGGCAACAAACGCGAGTGTCTTTCAAAACTCTGTCAACTTTACACAGGAACGAGCCATGGAAGTAAGTGATCACAAAGCCAAGGACATCTGAGAGAATCTCTAACTGGCACTTTCCACACAAACAGCCCGAGTGAAATATTTTAAAAGAGGAATATCAAACTCCCCTGTGCCTTAGGTGGGCTTCTGATTAATCACAACGCAGTGACCTGCTTCTGGCTTTCACATATGAATAAAAGGGTGAAGGGTCCATATTGGCAACTCTGGACAGGCCAGGGGACAGTTTCAGATGTCTGTATGAGAAGAGCCAGACAAGCACACGCCCCCTGCTGTAACAAGCGCAGTCTGCTCACTGGTTCAGACTCCCGGCTCCGTTGCAATGCTCAACATGAACACAGCCCAGCCCATGAATTCAAAGCAGTCTTACTCCCTGGATTGTCTCCAGTGTTATGAGGAAGCAGTGCTCCCCCTAGTGGATTCAGAAGACATTGTCATTTTCATTTTGAAGTTTAAAAGTTCCTGAATTGTTCCAGCTGCATGACTAAGTCAGCGACTTTCCTTAGGTGTGCCTTTGGACTCAAGTATATTTAGTCTTTCTTCTCTTTTGGGTCCTACAGACTGTTTTGCGACCTTGGATTTATGAGTCAGGCCCCTGTATTTTGCAGTCGAGTGTTCAGACTATCAAAGAAGAGTGAAGAGTTAGAATTTAAATGATGTAGTTTAGGAGGCTTTCTGTTTGTACCTAAGCTAAGTAAACCCACGGTACACTCTTGGAGAAAGGCTAGCATGGTGTTATATTTATGTGAGATATTCTGTTCACCATGACCGAATCCCTGGGAGGGCGTGTCTTCTCTAGTGTGGAGTTGTCCTTAGGAGTGCAGATCGTAGAACTGGGAGGTTGTGGGTTCACACCCTGAGCGGTAGTACCCCCGAACTGGGCAGCGCCCTCAGAACGCTGCAGTAAGATGACCAGCGGTCTAAAGGGGTACCTGCTGCAAGTCGCTTTGGAAAACACTGTCAGGCAAATGAACTCATAATAGTTCAGGTGGGTAGCTGCGTCGGCAGGCTGCAAAGGAACAGGTAACGTTGCGTTTTCTTTCTTCTCTATTCAGCATGGAATAAACCTATTACTTGAACTAATAATAGTTTATATTCTGTTCCAGCCAAGATCTTAATTGCAGGCCAATAGATTTCAGTTTTCTACCCGGCACATTTTTACATTCACTTTTGAGTTTTACAAAGGCAATTTGTAAACAGTATCAAACGTACTAACTTGGGGGTTTCAGACCTGCCTTCACTCACCTGTGTGACCTGGGGGCGTGTCTGATGCAGTGTCATTCGCATCTGCTGGGACTACTGCAGAGAGAAACAGGAGAGGAAACTCTTACTGAACAAGCTGAGCACAGACTGTGCTGAGCGCTGTGTGCCGAGCTGGGGTTTGTCTGAAACCACGGACTGAGTACAGAAACACCCAGTCCAAAATAAGCAAGAGATCTGGGGGCACAAAAACAAGAAGACACAGGGGCACCCCAGGACCAGAGCTGGGAGCCCCTTTTGTCACTGGTATTGTTGTTTATGTAGAACAAAGCACATGCCTTTACAATGATCATAAAACAGTCAGGGACATGTAAATCGAAGGCCAAACCAGATTGGGCTCATTGACCCATCTTGCACATTTGTTTTAGTGTTGTAAGGAAAGTCACACAAGTGTGGTTTACAGTTTTTTCTAATTCCACACTACTCTTGGAGTGAACACATACCTCTGGGTGTCAGCCTTAAGCACGGGTCCTCTAAAGTCCTGGTCGCGTCCCGATGCTCGCTTGCTGCTGTGCACACGTTCATCCACCAGGCTGATGCCCTCAGCGTCTCTTGGGATGAATACTTGTACAATACTCACTCATTACTCCATCTGTTAAAGATCGGAGACTTCCTCACTTATCTGTTCAAATATACAATTAAACCCCAATACCCATGCTAGAAAAACTATATCTACTCGGAGACAATCGTTTTCTCCTCGTTTATAAAGACAGTAGTACAGTATCTTTCCCAGTTAAACACGACTCTTGCAGAGCGACAGTCAACAAAGAGCAGTACATATACGAACAGTATCGGAAATCTCTTAACAGTTGATATAAGAGCACGTTTGTCCGCAGAGAAGCGGCTGAGGGGTTAATGTCCCGCGGTACCTGTGATTGGGCACTCAGGTGCACCGCCAACGACCTGCAGGTGCGAGGATGTATAAATCAGAGGGAGGCGCACAGCGGTCGTTTTGGGATATCGACGCAGAAGTGAGGAAGATGGTAAGGGCCAAACCTCTAGTTTATCCGCGTATCCTTAAGAGCCCCGATAAATGATGAAACGCTTTCTAAAGTTTCGTACACGGTAAACAAAAGTGTTAAGGGGGGGGAATCGCGACACGAATAAACACAAAATCAAATCGAGATGACTATTATTACAGCGTGGCTGTATTACTTCAGTTTCTTGGCGCAGAGTTTAATGTTGATCTCCTAGTAAGAAACGACCCCTTCAAAGAATACCCCAGTTCGTCCACTTCCGATATCGAATGTGGCCGTCTCGGGTGAGCTCGGCGCCGCGGTTCGGTACCGCTGTGTGACCCGCTGCGTGTGCTCGCTCGCCCCGCAGAGGGAGTGTATCTCGGTCCATGTCGGCCAGGCGGGGGTGCAGATCGGCAATGGCTGCTGGGAGCTGTTCTGCCTGGAGCACGAGATCCGGCCCGACGGCACCGTCTCGGACCCGAACAGCCCCTCCGTCGTGGACTCGTCCTTCTCCACGTTCTTCAGCGAGACCGGCTCGGGGAAGCAGGTCCCGCGGGCCGTGTTTGTGGACCTGGAGCCCACAGTCATTGGTAATGTATCCCGGGGAACAGACTCCACGCACTCCGGAACGGTGGGGGTGTTTTTAGTACTTTTCTGCGTTTTTATAGATTAGCATCTTTTAGTCTGTTAATAAAACGCGTCCCTCTTAATTGTTAATTCGTGCAATGACAAGCTCCATGTTAATTGTCTGTTTCTCGCATTTGTTACCTTTTTCTTTCTGAACAAAAAGGTCCATTTTAACGCCAGTCAAAGTGGGGGGGCAGACTGAAAGCCTTTCAGATTAAGAGCTCATTCACAGTCCTCCTTATTGTTGGTAGGTTTCTTGCTGGCACCAGTCACTGTACTATCCCTGAAGTGTTTTCGGCTCAACCCTTGTTGCCTTAATGCTCTTAGCCAGTGCTCGTTCTTGGTCCTGGACTGCTGTACTGTACAGCCCTGTAAATGTGAGGAACTTGCCCTTCATGCTTAAATGCCTGTAAAAGGACTAACCTGCAATGGCCAGCAAGAGGAGAGCCCAGCTGAGGTGAAACCAGGAGGATGAGGAAGGAGCCACAGGTTGGCCCAGTTGGCTGTAGCCATTGAAACTGGACCATATAGCAATGTCACAAGGAGGCCTGCAGCTTCAGACGAAGTATCAAGTCGCAGTTCCTCAGTGGCTGAAAGGCACCTCTGTGTATACAAGTGCTTGGAGAGCCCGTGAGCTGAAAGGGAAATGATTAACTGGAGTCATTGCTCTTCCAAGCTCATGGCTGCGAGTCCATGTATGAAGTGAAACTGTCCTGGATGCCAGTTTCCCTGGCGCCTGTCCGAGCTGGATCTGTCCTTTACAGATGAGGTGAGAAATGGGCAGTACCGCCAGCTGTACCACCCTGAGCAGCTCATCAGCGGGAAAGAAGACGCTGCCAACAACTACGCCCGCGGCCACTACACCATCGGCAAGGAGATGATCGATCCCGTCATGGAGAGAATCCGGAAAATGGTAAGCAGCTGGTACTTGAAGTCTTAAGGGAAGTTGTCGGATCACCTCAGTTTTCTGCTCTGGTTTGGTTAGTGTAATTCAGACCAAACTCCTCTTGCCTGGAAAGGTGAGCTGTGAACGATGACATGGGCAAAGGTAGAATTTCATTGTAATGTTGTAGCTATAAGGCCATTATGCAAATTCCATTCCATGTCTCTTGGTTGAAATCGGGACCTGGACTGGTGAATGGGAAACTATGCCACATCAGCTGGTGTGGTGGTCACTACGGTGGCATCATTGTTCAGTCCTGGGGTTCCTTGTCTCTGCCGTCAGTGTTACTGTCCCCCCAGAGGGTAGTTCAGCTCCAGTCTCCAAAATGGACTGGTCTAGTCTGGGCTGCAGTTCCACCTTATGTCCTGTGCTTCCAGGTTACTCATGGAAACCTGGAGAACTTGTACCAGGAGTAACTCCCATAGGTGGATGTGTACCTATTTGCTCATTTAGACACCATGATCAAGTTCTACACATGTATAAGCTTCATGATCTTGCAACACTACTTATTCCAGTGAAGCATTCAAAGGTTAATGCAATATTTTCTTTCCTAGGCTGACCAGTGCACAGGTCTGCAGGGCTTCCTGGTGTTCCACAGCTTTGGAGGTGGAACTGGCTCAGGATTCACGTCCCTGCTGATGGAGCGCCTCTCTGTGGATTATGGCAAGAAGTCCAAGCTGGAGTTCTCGGTCTACCCTGCTCCACGGGTCTCCACTGCTGTGGTGGAGCCGTACAACTCCATCCTGACCACCCACACCACCCTGGAGCACTCGGACTGCTCCTTCATGGTGGACAATGAGGCCATCTTTGACATCTGCAACCGTAATCTAGGTGTGGAACGTCCATCTTACACCAACTTGAATAGGCTAATTGCACAGATTGTCTCCTCAACCACAGCCTCTCTGCGCTTTGATGGGGCCATGAATGTTGACCTCACAGAGTTCCAGACCAATTTGGTGCCATATCCCAGAATTCACTTCCCCCTGGTCACGTATGCTCCCATCATCTCTGCAGAGAGAGCCTACCATGAGCAGCTGTCTGTGCCAGAGATCACCAACGCCTGTTTTGATCCTGCCAACCAGATGGTGAAGTGTGATCCCAGGCGTGGAAAATACATGGCCTGCTGTCTGCTCTATCGTGGGGATGTGGTGCCCAAGGATGTGAATGCAGCCATTGCCAGTATTAAAACCAGGCGCTCGATCCAGTTTGTGGACTGGTGCCCTACTGGTTTCAAGGTTGGCATTAACTACCAGCCTCCTACTGTGGTGCCTGGAGGAGATCTGGCAAAACTTGCCCGGGCTGTGTGCATGCTGAGCAACACCACTGCCATCGCTGAAGCCTGGAGCCGCCTGGACCACAAGTTTGACCTGATGTACGCCAAGAGGGCCTTCGTCCACTGGTACGTGGGAGAGGGGATGGAGGAGGGCGAGTTCTCTGAAGCCAGAGAAGATATGGCTGCCTTGGAGAAGGACTATGAGGAGGTTGGTGCCAATTCTGAAGATGGTTTGTCTGAAGAGGAAGATGAATATTGAATCTTGTCAAATTATGCATTAGCTGTGGTTTGCATCTTGAGAGTTTCAAATCTTGTGCATGTTTGTCGCCTACATTAATGCCGTAATTAGCTTTTTTTACAATGGTATGACAAGAAGACTGCTCCAATCTGACCCTTCATCTTTCAAGTGTGGAAAGGTTAATTCTTATAAAATACTTGAATGATATGTGACCTTGCACACAGTGGCACTTATTTTCCTAATAAAAGGCACTGCATAATTACTTTGTGTAATTTGAAAGATTTCTTCCGTTGATAAGCACCATCAAAGATTGAAATGTTCCAATCTGCTTTCAAAATGATTTTGTATTGTAGCCTTCATAATTGGTTCACTTAATCACTGGTTACACAGTGATTCCTAAAAGTGGTTATGCAAATCATTCTTGACCTACTACTGTAGCAGCAACATCTGAGCGATCACCCTGGTGTCCAGTCCTGAAATTCCAGCCTGGGGGGTTTGGTTAAGAGTCCATTACATAAACCTCCATGGACAGGATGTTCAGTCTTTCCCCTCCAGAAGCAGGAGCTCTACTCATGACTGGAGCTCAGGCAGACCTCTAGATGCCCATCACTGGCTGTTCAGCAGTTCCCTGAACTTTTAAAATGGGGATGGAGGCAAGCTGTGGGTTGGTTTGTGTTCAGGTCATACGTGTTCTTGACACTGCATATGTAGCATTCATCCATTCACTAATCCTGTTACTGCTGGCATTGTTCTGGACACTTCCAAGCTCAGAGCTGGTCTCCAAGACTGAATCAAAGCAGCAGCAGCAGCAGTAGCAGCTGCCGACACCCTGCATGTTCTGCATCAAGGTCTCATTAGATCAATACCTACAGTTCCTGTATATCATGTAGAAAATCGCAGGTGGGAGTCTGGACAGTACCTGGATGGGAGACTCCTGTGGGGAAAAGCCAAGGTTGCTGCCAGAAGAGGGTTTAGTGGTATCAGTAGGGAGCACAGGACCGTTGTCTGTAAGTCCTGATGCCATATTATAATGGGGACACTATACTATAAAAAAAAAAGGGGGCACCATCCTTTAAATGAGACAGTGAGGTTCTGACTAGGTGGTCATAAAAATCTCAATGTATTTCTCAGAGTAGGGTTGTTACCCTGGTGTCCTATTTCCTATTGTCTTCTACCCATCATGGCCTCCTAATAACCCCATCCCTGAACTGGCTCCATCACTCTGCTCTCCTCCCCACTGAGAGCTGGGGTGGGGCTCCCCATGACCTGTAAGTGCTGTCTAAGTGTGAGGGATTAGCACGATGGCTAGAATCAGCAGACATGCTGCTAGTCCTTTAATGTGATGACTGCAGTCGCTGATCGATGGTTCTGCTGGCCTTGGAGGAAATTTAAAAATCGATTGAAGTGAGCTTTATTTTAAGGAAATGGAGCTGGGAGATGGGTTCTGCACACATGAAGCTCTGCAGCTGAAATCTCTCTTCCTTTCAGCAGGGATTTAACCTTTACCTGTTTCTTTGCAGCCTATGCTGCTATGGCTCCCTATGCCAATGTCTTCAATAAATATACAAGCTCTCCATTTCATGTGTCTTAAGCTTCAGCATATTTTATACAGTAGGTTTATGAAACACAAACGGCACCAGCACCTGACCCACAGTACCCTTATAGGGCATCCTTGATATTCCTGGACTTTAAACCTGTGTAATATTTTTTACCCTGTTTTTTTTTTACACTTTACTGAACTTTATATAATGATTTTTAAAAAGTTACAGCATACTGTACAAAACAAACATAACACCCATCATAAGCTACTTGCCTACCCTGTTTCAATTGCCTTGTACATCGCCTGTTACTGCGGGGGAAGTCTGGTATTTTTGTTTTTTAAAGACAAAATTCCCCTTTAGCAGATTTTGTCCATTAAATCCAAAGTCTGTTAAAGCAAAGTTTGTTAAACAGTGTTCATACTGTATTTTTCTATGAAAATGCATGCATGAATAATGATGAGTGTCTTTTGGGGCTCAGTATATGTAGTGTATAGCTCTTATCCCCAGATCGCAGTCACACTGGGATTGTCTCTAGACTACAGCAGCTCTGTGAAGTGCCTTGGGAAGGCTCTGTTTTGATTGATGTTAGTTTCTAAGGCTTTCGCTAGCCAGGTGGGTGGTGACTTGTTTGTGCAGGCATGTCAAAAATGTTCTTAATGGGTCAAAAGGCTGTTCGAGCCAGATTGTGAGCTGCAAAGCAAGCCTGACCAGACCAGCAAGGCTGAGGACTGTGTGCGAGATTCTGGGTGGTGTAGAGCAGTGGGGTTTTCTTTGTATTAGCCAGCTCAGGAATTGATGTCAAGGGTTCAGTGGAATATTTCCTTTTCTGCTCACTCATGAATAAAAAGAATTTAACAGTGGGTTTGGACTATACATACAGAGCCATGGGGACAACACAGGAAGCAACTGTGCAGGAGTAACAGATACATCACAGATACAAACCTGACTTAATTTTTGAGCAAAATCAATTAGCAGTTATGTATTTGTCTAAATACAGTGACAACACACACAAACATATTGTAAACCTACCAATATAATATGAAATGTGCTTTATGTTCTGCCCAGCTTAATACTTTGATAACGTAACACCAACAATGTGAACAATGTATCTCTGAAAACATTCTTTAGAATGGTCTTTTCATATTTTGGATGTGATAACTAATATCTAGTGGCATCACACTCTATTAATCCATCCCATTCTATATTAAACCAGTAAAGAAAGTTTGCTTTTAGCAAATTCACTTCTTAAAATGGTATTAAACAAACATGAATCCAAAGCAATCTCTTTTACCAGTTTAAAGAAAATGTTTTTTAAATCAACAGCTGTACTGATGTGATCAATGAATTGCAGTGTTTCCCCAGCAGTAACACTTCACCCGACATTTACAGGAAAATACTTCAGAGACAGAAAGGCATCATCAGGCCTTTGAACAAGGCCCTCAGAGATAATGATACAGCAGCTGTAGGGTACAGTACTGCAGAGAGAGGAAGAAGAGACAGAACTGCCTGTTAGTTCACTGGGGTTTATTTACCTTGATGATTGCAGGGGGAGTGAGGCAGGTGACTTCCACCCCTCCGTACAGGTAGGATTAAGCGGGTGTTAAGTTACAGGTAGGGCAGGAGGCAGTCCAACATCAGGGTCGGAAAGCTACAGTACACAACACCTCATTGTCTGCCAGGCAGCACTTCAATTCAGACTACAAGTTGGGTTGTAAAGAAAAAACAAATCTGGCTTTATTTTGTAAAATCACCAAACATCCAGTTCAGCTCCCCAGACTACTGCATTTGTACTCTCCATCACATCCTACAGCGGCCTCTAGTGGTCAGTGGGTCAATCCACATGTGTACTTGTCTAGATCCCTTTCCAGATGCCCACCAAGAACTCCACAATCGCAGCATGAGGATCCTGGCTGTCAATGGGAACGGTCGGAGATTTGCTGCGATACAAAATATGATCGTCCACTCAGGTATTTACAAATAGCAGATTTCATAACTTCAGAGTTAAAACACATTGAATAAATGTGTAGTACAGTCAAGATCATAGGTCCTCTTGTATAATTAAATAATTAATATTCTCAGCTACAAGTAAATACAGTACTGCATTCACTAACATGAACTAAACATCACATCTTTGGTGGGGATAATAGTTTAGCTCTTGAGAATTATGAGAATGATTCTCAAAGACCCATTTGGCAGACGCCACTGTGGTGTTAAACTCCCCCCCTGGCCAGAGGGAGCTTGGCCCGTCCTTGGCAGCTGTTCTGTGCTGGGATGGCTCTGGCTGCAGGGAGAAGAGTAGCAGAGTTGGGCCTTGCATTGGCCTGCAGGCAGCTCTGCCAGAGGTATTAGTCTCTTGCTCAGCTTTGCACATTAAAACCAGTCTATGCAGCCTGTAAAGGTTTATTCCCTGCTGAAAAGAAAGGAAACCATTTAGGCAGTGGAGCCTTCTCCAGGTGTGAGAGCGAGAGCACCTCTCACACCAGGAGAAGGTTCCACAGCTGAAACAGTTTCCTCTCCCCAGCATGAAATAAACCTTTTACTTGTTCCTTTATAGCCTACCCATGCTGATGCAGCTTCCCACCTGAACTACTATGCACAGTATTTTCTTAGGGTCCAGTTGCAAAGTAGACCAAGGGGAACCTAGTTCAGCCTGGCTAGAGTAGGGTACTGAATTTGCTCAGATATTAAATGTGGTCAAAAAGAAATAGTCCAACTGTAATATTTCTGGCCAGGCAAAAGTGACTGAACAAGAAGGCTGATCACCAGTTTAGTGGCAGGGAAGAGAATTAAATTAACCACTGAACATGAGCTGGATTCTAGCTTTTAAAGTGCTGTACAGCATCACAAGGTAGAGACTGGGTGAAATGTTATCAGGTATAGTTCTGAATAGTACAGACAGACCCCCCTATTTGGTGGATGAACTGTGACCTTGGATCTACAGCCTAGGTCTATATACACACACAATTAAATGTACAGCACTGGATCCATCTTTAGGTCTCCTATCAGGGGCACCACTTTAGCCATGGTCCTCTGCTTTCAGAGAACGATCCAAGCTTCCTTACTCAAGGTACACAGTAATTATTGGAACTCAAACTCTTAATTCTAAGGGACAAAACATTGCTATAACACCTTCAGCTTAGTCAAGCTGAACAGCAGATAGAAGGCTGCAAAGCTGTTGATGCGGTGAGCTGTCAAGGGCTCCGCTCACCCAGCCTGAACTGGTTATCTTGCCCCACTGGGGCAGCTCAGTGGGAAAGAAAGTGCCAAGGAGACCACAGCATCGCTGTTCTTCACATTGCTGCCATATTCCAGTGGCAAGAGAAGATGTTTTTAGTTTTGAGCTGTGGTTAACAAGTTTCATTGCTTCCTCAACTTAAGATATTCAAGTACAGGGCTAGGGTAGAGGGAAAAATACTTCAAACAAAATTTCAATTAGCTTACTCATCTAGCTATAGAAAAAGAACTTCACAACCTAAATGACAGCATATCAATTTAGTCTATCCAGCCAAGTAGGTTGGACACAGTCTGGACATTTGTCTTTGGCCTAAAACCCAGAAAATAATGAGAAAATCTATGCTGTGAATCCATTTATTAAGTACAAATAAAGTGCTCCACGTGCAGAAGCACTAGAAAACAGCCCGATCTGCACAAATTTACATATTCCTGAAGTCTGACAGGGTTTAGTACTCATCCTCATCTTCTTCACACAAGCCTTCTGCAGAATCAGCTCCTACTTCCTCATAGTCCTTCTCCAAGGCAGCCAAGTCTTCTCTGGCTTCAGAGAACTCGCCCTCCTCCATCCCCTCTCCCACGTACCAGTGGACGAAGGCCCTCTTGGCGTACATCAGGTCAAACTTGTGGTCCAGGCGGCTCCAGGCTTCAGC